TGCATCTTCAAATAAGGAATATGATAACAAGTCATTGAAATACTTGTCACCAATATCCTCTATCTCAGTGTATCTTTCATTAAATGGTTGAAGAAATCCTTCGGCCATCCAAAGTTGAATTAAAACCTCCCTTTCTATGATAAAATTTTTGGGGAGAATAGAACAGAAAGCAAAGCATTGCTTCAAAGCTAGTTCTGGTAGGCGTTCAAAGCTCAATTGTAACACACGTTGAACTCCATTAGCCTCTTCCAATGAACCCCATACTTCAATATTATCTTTAATTGATAACCAATCATCTTTCCTCCGGTTATTGCACAAAGTCCCCCCAATAACACTTGCAATTAATGGCACTCCTTTACATTTTTTAGCAATTTCCTTTCCAATATTCTCCAATTCCTCCAATTCTGAGTTGCCAAATAGTCTATGTTTGATTATAGACCAACAATCATTATCTTTAAGCTGCTCAAGACGATGCACATGTGCGGGAGCTGTTCCCATCATTGATGCTACATTTTGAGTTCGAGTTGTGACAAGGACCTTACTCCCAATTGTTTTACTTATCCCCAGCAAGCACTGCCTTAAGTCTTCCCATTTTAGCCTATCTTCATTCCACACATCATCTAGAACGAGGAGATACTTTTTCCCCTCCAAGTTTTCTTTTATTTTTTGAACCACAACATCTTGGCTTGTAATATTTTCACAACCAGCTTTGGTAAGAGACTCCAGCATCTGTACTAAAATCCTTTTCACATCAAAATTTTCAGAAACACAGATCCACATAATTTTCAAGAAATGTCTCTGTATTTGGTAATTGTTCCACACTAGTTTTGCCAAAGTAGTTTTCCCAAGGCCTGCAATACCCACTATAGAAACCACACAGAGAGGCTGCTGGTTACTTGAGTCATGAATCAACAATTCAACTATTTTTTGGACATCACCATCTCTTCCTATAACTCTTGATGGTTCACCTAGTAGGGAGACTGTCTGTTGGATTCCTCTAGGTTCAGGATTCCTGTTTGCAAGTCTGTGTTGAAGTCCTAACCCAGTGGCTCGATTGTTTAGGTCAACAAGGGCAGCATTTAAATTCTTAATCTTGATACCCATTTTAAGGCGAAATGCCAGAGGATTTAAGGGAGTAAAGAAGTAGCTGACCTGTTTCAGCATTTTTTGAGAAACTACCTTGCGTCGCAAATTTTCATATGCAATCTCATCCATCAGATCATCAGCCTCTTCACTGATACTCCAAAGCTCCTCAAGCCAATGCTTCAGATCAGGGCGGCCTGTCACTTGCTTCTGCTCTGCGTCGTCTAACACACCCCAGGTCATTCCCAGTGTGACATGAAACCTCCTCAACTCCTGATGGAATCCAACAGCTAAGTTGAGCTGCTCGTTAGTAGCTGAAATCACCTTGGATAAGGTCAGCTTCAAAAGAGTACCGAGGATAGCGTCTGCGGCCATATTTGCTACTGTAGTTTGGAAAAGAGAAATGCATGAAGATTACACAGCTCAATGACTCAGAATGATATCTATTCATAGAAAATTAGGAGGTTTGGTCAATTGGTCCCACGAAAACTACCTTAAACCTACCACCCCTAATTTTCTATACAGCTGCCATCACCATACACGGAACATAAATGATTGGATAGGATTTAAGTAAACACATCACCGGTTGAAAATGCCAATTTTTTTCGTATAGACATTAAACAGTGGTCGGCATCGTCGTCGTCGTCGTCGTCGTCCTCATCATCATCATCATTATTATTACATACAAGTAAAAATTAAAACTTCGTGTTATTAAAAATGTTATATGTCTAATTTTAATCACATGATAATAAAATTTAAGTAGGCCTTATATTATGTCACACTTATTTGTAATTATTATTAAATATTTTAATATTTTTGTGTAGGATGTCATTTTTTTTCAATTTTTTTATTATGAAAATAGGAAAATCAAGATTTTTTAGCAATTAAAATATTAAAAATAATAATAAAAAAACTAAATTATCTTCAATGAATCAACACAAAAAAGATTAACTAAGTGTATATGAACAATTTTGGTATTAGGTAAAATATTCCCTACAAGTGGCGTGACTCAATCGGTCCACGTAGATTTGGACTTGAGGAGGAAACACTTAAAACTTGGCAAAAACCCATGTTAAGCCTCTGAACTTTTTTTGACAGCTAATGATAAGCCCCTAAACTAAAAAAGTAGCAGATAAGCCCTCAAACCTCACATAAGGAGCAAATTAGCTCCTTAACTAATTCAGCTTTGTCACGTCGTTAGTGTAATGGCGTGCTTCCAACATGGCTCGAACGTGACTTCAATGTCGTGTCAGTAGTCCTGTGACTTTTTGACCAATCAAATCCACAATATCTGTTGAAAATGTAGTAAATATTTAATTTATTAATTATTTAATTAAAATTATTTAATATTAAAATTAATATTAATTTTTATATTTTTTATGTATATTTGTAATAAAAAATATCCTTAACTTACATCATAAGAGTATATGTTAAAACAAATCTTATATTAAATTATAAAATAAAAATTATTAAATAAAAAATTTTGTATATTAAGAATTTGTTTTATTTAATTATTAAATTGTATGTATTAAAGTAATAAAAAAATCCTTAAAATGCATCATAAGAGTATACATTAAAAAAAATCTTATATTAAA